CTTCCGTTCTTGCCGGCTGTTCGTCTCGTTTGCTCTCTACCCGTCCCTTCCGGAATCTAGGATGATCTCTCCACCATAGTTTCCGCCTCTTCCCTCCTACTCCTGCCGAGTCGGTCTTTTCAGCCGAACAAACCATTCCCTTTTCTCCCTTATACCGGCACTCTCGCGTATACGATGAAAATGACTCGAGGCACCGGCTCGAGTCTGTGCCAGCGAACGAGGAGCGGAACCGTCGCGACGCGATGGCAACGGCAACCCGTGGAAACTTTTCTACCAACGAAACGCGACGCGCCGTTCGATTATAGGCTGCGTTCTCTAATTGCGCAAAAGTAATCCAGTCGCTCTCAATTGCACCAAATACACACAATTCGGAGATGTCTTCCTGTCGACAAAACTTTTAGTTAAGCCTATGGAACTCTGTGGAAGTTTGTGTTCTACGGTGCTTGAAACGCGACCTACTATGCGAATTCGTACACGGTGCATCGCGACGAAGAGAACCGTACAATGGCTAACGTATAAACAGGAAAGTTATGCCAAATTCAATTTGCACGAACTCACCAAAGTATTTGAACGTTTTCCATAGGGACGGTAATGAGATATCGCTGTACCGAAACACCATTGTCGTATCGATGAAATTTGATTCGTTGGAAGCTTTAGCGAAGCGACCGATGAAAATTATTCGACCGATAAAACTTTCAAACGATCGGCTACCGATCATCGTGACTGTAATGTCGGAACACGCGTTGCGAGCGATGTTCGGCGTTACGAAAGGAACACCTGAGCTTGATCGACGATAGCCAGAACGCTACGAGTTGAAACGGTTGGCCGGCACGCGATGCTTCTCGAACATCGATCCTGGCTCAGCTGACTTTCAGTCCACTCGCGTGCCTTTCCTTACGGTTCGATACGGCTGCTTTTAAACGCTGAACACAATCCACGTAGAAGGAAGCGAAACGCGTAGGCGAATTGTCGCGGAAGGGTAGAATCGCAGAGAACGGTACACTGGAAATACTTGGGAATTTAAACGAGCAGTGACATCGTTAAAAGTCTCGAGTGCATCCCCTTTGATTTAAAATGCAAATTTTTGTCGAAGAAACGAAGGGAGCGGAAAGCTACGAGATTGTCGACCGAGCGACTACTATCGCGACTATAAACTTTCCGCTCGTTTCCTTTCGGTACTTGCAAGACTAGCGTCGCGATAACCCATCCAAGAAGCGCGCTAACAACCTCTCTATTCTACATCTCGTCGTCGACTTTCCTTTCCTCCTTCCGACTCGCCTTTCTGTTAAATGCATTCGGTAACGAAAAGCCGATATTCGGCGGACAGACTCGCACTATCGGCAGAACTCGACAGCTCGTTTTAGAGATTTTGCCGATGGGCAGGTTGCGCGACGACGTCGACGAAACCACCTGCTTACGAGCCAGCCTCTGCTCGCCAAACCATCGTTCTTCGTTTTCCCTATCGAATTTCGATACCTATTCGCTGCTGCCAGTGGCGCCTTTGTTTCGTCTCTTCTTAAACGACGGTCCAACCACGGTGGTAACGTCGTCGCTCATCCGCGCGGTGTCGTTTTACAACGATTCAACGAGAAACTTTCTCGATCCTGCGCCATACTAATTGACTAAACTTTTTCTTTGTTTTCGCTAATAAGAGATAGAGAAAATAAACGATCGAGCAGACGTCGCATCCCGATTAGCTCGTTCGCCAATTTGATCGGAGGGTTCATAAAGTCGGTATAAACCAGCAGCATGATCGTGACAATCACATCTCGTTGCAGTTACATCGCTGAAGAAATTTCAACGTGTTTTGTATCTATAACAGACATAATATATCCATATTGAATTTTTATAAACGTTCAAAAACTTGTACTTTCGTGAGCCACTGTACGTAACTCCTACGCTTAATGGTTTAAGCATGAGAATCCAACGACAAGATTCGCGCAAACAAATATTATTATTATTATCATTATTGTTACACGGGCCGAGCCCAATAAAAAGTACGAAAGAATATAATAATATGCGCAATGAGAAAAGTAAGAAAAGAAAGTGAATATAGAAAAGACAACGAAATAAAATAAGAAAAAGGGGATGAGGAACGGGAAAAAGAATATTATTGGAAAGCTTTACGTGATGAAAGGATATTGTAGAGCTACATTTTATATGTGTTTGAAGCGTCCGAGGAGGCCGATATTTTCAGCGTATCGATTTGCTAATTTAATAATTCCATTTAATGGATCTCGGGTGCTGTAGCATATTTTGGTAGTTGACGGCCACAAATCAAAGAAGTTGATCAGGTCTTAATGCACGTGGTAGTGCATACAGGTTTATGTGCACCAAAAGAGGTGGAGTTGATTTTGCCGTTAATAATAAATAAAAACGGAAGATCTGCTACAATTTCGCGAATTTCGAGAGTAGATAGGCGGATAATATTATCTAAAATGGTAAAGTAGTTACGATCATGAAATGACATTCTAACGCCTTACTTCTAAACGGCAAATCTAAGAAATTTCTGATGAATTTTCTCAAACAGAAATACGTATTTGTCGTATGCGATATAATTGCGATGCAACTAATGAACCATAGAGAAATTTTAGAGTTGGCACATTTAGAAATTCCGAAGACGCGCGCGTAGCGAACCCAAGGGTTTCAGCGATTCTTTGACAATATTAGAGCAATGTTTTGAGAAATTCAAGATACGTATGAAAATATTCTGACATTGTCGACCGCGCTAATCTCTGTCGAGATGCAATTCGATAGATTATAGCTAAGACAACTGGATTCGTTTTACACGAGTATCTATATAGTAATAATATGACATTTAGAAAGACTCAAGTCCAATTTATTTAATACACACCAATTACAGAGGTTACTGAAAAGTCATACTGTAATTATATAGCGTCGTGGTGGTTAGAGATCCGCTTAAATATTTTTAGATTTTTATCCCAATGAACAAAAGCCGAATAAAATTCCCCAGAGACATTTTCCACTAAACGAGGACGCTGCCTCGTCCTTGATGTTCCAACGCTATTCCGCGAACTTGTTCGGAATATCGATGGAACGCCTGCGCCGACCACGGACTGAACTATCTTAACGAACCGTGTCACTCGTATGCTTCTCGCTGAGTTAATACAGCCCAATGATATGGATCGCAACCGAGAATTTCAAATATTCCAAAACACGTTCTAGAAAATTCGTAGGAAGGCGAATGCAATTCCCTTCCCTAGATATCTTCCCTAGAGATCTCATCCTGAGGAAGTCCGGGGCGAGAATCGGCGACCTTCCATCACGACATCTCCTCGTCTAAATCGCCAGGAAACAAGTGTAAACGGCCAGGTTTCGCCCACGCTGGCCGGGCTATTGGCACGAATGGCCACTCTGATTCAAATCTCTCGAACATCTCTCATCGACGAATTACGATCGTATAACTAGTCGCCCTATAAAGCTACCATTGCGACACGGTTTTAAAGTCAGTCTAATTATATAAAGGGTAGAAAACTTATTGTAATGGGAAAGCTGCAGATAGTAACCAGATATTCTACTTCAAACACTTAACGATTTGTTAATAGAAGAATTAAGAAATGATAGATTTCTTTAGAGAGAAAGATGAAGGTCAAATCTGATACAGAAATTTCGATCGCACATGGAATCATCGGTGATAAGTTCGACTCAGTCCACGAGTCAG